GTTGCGAGGACGAACGCGGTGGGGCCAATCGCTCCGGTGCTTAGGCCGGTTAGGATGCGGAGGGCGACGTAGACGATGTACGATGGAGATAAGGAGGTCAGAGCGCCAAAGACGGTGTTCATGATGCAGAGGGTTGTCAAGGATCCTTTTCGGCCGAGGACCGTGTCGGAGAGGTGGCCGAAGATCCCACAACCTGAAACAGGCAAAGCTTAACCCAGGGTAAAAAGAGTCGAAAAAAAATTCTACCTACCAAAATCAAACTACAGAATATATAGTAAGCTTCAAAGAGCGAATAACCCTTCTTCTTTGTATCTGAATTGATGTGTTATTTGCGCCCGTGCCCACTGCTGATGATCTGGATGGTCGAAAAAAAAAATTTGATGTTATTTAAGGCATCTTAATTTGTAGTTACCTATCATGCAACCAGCGAAAAACGCTGACTGAGCCAGCCCAACCTTGAACCTCTCTCCGCAGACGAGTCCCCACTGGGCCACCGTCGACGTGCCTGGCCCGCCGACCATTCCCACTGAACCCGGATCAAGGCCGCAGACATTATCTAACGAGCGGGCCTGCAGTCGGGCCCGCTCTGCCCCGTGCACCTCCACGCCGGCTCCTTGTCCGCAAAAATAATCACCATGTTGTGAAAAGCGTCGACGCGGCCACGCGAGGCTCGTCAGCAAGCGAGTGCCGGAGCTGCCAAGGCCAAACTCGCCGGCGTAGGGCTGGCTGAGCGCTTTTCGTCGACCCGAGTTTCTTCGGGCCCGTCGGGGGTCCGAGGAGGAAGGAGAGCGGATGCGAGCGTGGAGGGAGTCGACTCTTGATGCATGGTACGTTTCTTGCAACCTCGGAGTTTGGTTCTGGATCCAGAGGTGTTGTGGTTTTTACTAGTGAAGAAATTTGCAAAATAGGTCTGTTCCGCAAATTTTTGCTTTTTTAGTTAGGAGGGAGATGGAGATGTTATTAGTATGAGGAAGGAGTTACTGTCAGAGTACGAGAAATTTATTTGGATGTAGGTATTTATTTGCCAAATTTCTCAAGACATAATTTCTGGGGAGCAGAGCATTCAATGCCAGCTAACCATCATGATGCACCATCAATACTGTATCGTGCTTGTTACGTGGTAACATTGGGGGGAAAAAACATTACTTTTTTGTGAGAGAAAATAAATAAATAAATAAATAAAAAGATCCATCTAACATTGGGGAAAAAAAACATTACTTTTTTGCGAGAGAAAATAAATAAATAAATAAATAAAAAGATCCATCTACTACTTTGAGATTAAATACTACGCGTGTGCAGTGTCCTAGGAGGAAGTCCTTTTATTCAGGACGTGGTTCCCTGTTTTATAACTTGATTTGTATTAATGGTGTTCCACATTCAACGATATAAAACCTACGCTTTAGATTAATTCTGCCTAAATCTTTTAGATTTGGATCCTCGTCAACTAGGAGATAATTGATTAGGATTCAATTCTTTATATCCTTACATTCAATCTTCAGAAAGTAACTCAATCGCCTCTTCATCTTCAGAACAATCCGAACATATTAGGGGCTGTTTGGATGCCTTTAGATGACTAGAGTATTTATGACACAAAATAGAAAGTGGTTATCCACCTCATCACTTTCCTTTCGAGTGTTTACATTGTTTGGTTAGGAATCTTTGTGAATCCTAAAATAATAGTATTACATTGTTTGGATAGTATAATGTAAACTAGAGTATTTATGACACAAAATGGAAAGTGGTTATCCACCTCACCGCTTTCTATAAGGTTTTGACTTTTTTATTATTTTTTTGGACACGTTTATGACATTGTATCGGTTTTCCAACAAAATCACTCCTAATTTTGGTGATTTTGTTTTCGGTGACACGGACACCTCATCAAAAGTTGTAAGCTTTTCATGTAAAATAAAATTTAAACAAACAATGTAAAGTGATGAAAGCTGACATTAGGACCCACTTTTTTACATTTTTTATCCAAGCTTTGCTACAGGGACCCAAAATATGGGACCAATAGAGGGGACAAGTGAGGTGTTCCCCTCCTATTGGATAATGAGTTGGCCATCATTAATGATGGCCAACTCATTATCCAATAGGAGGGGGACACCTCACTTGTCCCCTCTATTGGTGCCATATTTTGGGTCCTTGAGGAATTTTTCTTTTTATCCTTTTACATGGTAAAAACATACAACCAATATAATATCAAAAAAGTTCAAAAGCAAATTTATACTTGAGCGTACGTTTATATTAAATTGAAGAGATGATTTAATTTTGTCATAAATGACATTAGTAGTTTCACCGATCTGCTATGGCATCTGGAAAACCACAGCTCTAAAATTGTGAGAATCCTTTGTGGGGTTGTCTTTTCCCAACGTAACGGGGCCCAATTGTTTAATGTTCCACTGCTTTCGACATTAAAGCCCAATGACATTAGGGCCTGTTTGTTTCGTTTCCCCCACATTCCAAAACCCACTTTCCTTCATTTTTTTCACTTTCCCCCACTTTTCAAAACCCACTTTTCTTCACTTTCTCCATTTTCCTCCAATAATATTGTGACAACGCATCCCACCACATCTCATCTCATACTTTTAAAAATAAACAAAACACAAGAAATGAGTCACATCAATCAACTCATCTAACTCACTTTCCCCCACTTTTCTTCATTTTCTACCATCTTTAAAAATTACTCACATTATCCAATAATATGGTGATAACTCATCACATCTCATTAAAATTTCATTCCATCACTTTCCTCCAAAAAAACAAGAATTGCGGAGGAAAACTCATCTCATCTCATCATCCAATAATATGGTGACAACTCATCTCATCTCATCTCATCTCATCTTTTTTCCCCAACTTTTAAGAATGAACCAAACACAAGAAAAAAATCTAAACAAGGAAAGTGGAGGAAAACATCAAAAATTACTCACATCAACCAATAATATAGTGACAACTCATACTTTCCCCTACTTTCTTTTATAGCTTTGACGAACCAAATCTCTGAAAGTGGAGGAAAACATCAAAAATTATTTTCTTTTACCCCATTTTCCCCCACTTTCTGCATTTTTTGGCAAAACAAACGGGCCCTAAAGCCCAATGCATGGCCCACTTATCTGTTCGCTAAATTTAAACTCACGTGCAGTTCACGTGCAATAAGCCAAGCTGAGATAAGGCCATTATCTCTTTTCTTGCGTTTGAGAGCGAATTCGCCTCGTGCGCAGCTTGATCGAGGGAGCTCAGAAGCAAAGGCCGAGGGGGCAAAAAAAAAAAGAGAGAGAGAGAAAAATGGCAGCAATGGCTGCGCTTCAGAGTTCAATGGCGGGACTTTCTCTCTCTTCTTCTTCTTCGTTTTTGGGGCAGCCCTTCATCCCGTCTCTCGCCTCGCCATCGGTTAGTCCTTTTAAATTTCCCTCATTCTCATGTGAAGAATTTTAATGGGTTAATCCAATTTTTTCCTCGGTTCTCCTGAGCAAAAAGTTAGAAATTTTTGAATTTTAATCGAGGAGGATGGAAACCCAGATGGGTTCTTTGCAATTATTGGAATAATGGTCCCCAGTGGGAGAAACTTGATATGTTGTTAGTTTAACTTTGATTATGATCTCAATTTTAACGTCAAATTGACGTCTTTCATATTAATTTGGACTAAGGTTTGGATTTAGTTGGTAGGATGTTGGAAGTTCAGTTCCCTTGAGTCAACAATCACCCCATACTTTGATCTTCAGGAAACAAGAGATTGCCATATTAGTAATTTTTATGAAACCAATACTTGAAGCTGACCTATTCAAATTTAGCTAAACCTGTTAAAAGCTTTTTCGTAATATCTGAAACCAAAAAAGAGGGCTTTCCAACCTTATTTTATACTGAAATTCTATAACAAAAACAAAAATAAAAATAAAAACGTGAATACAAAGCTAAAGTATAACTTTTGCTTCTGATTTCAGCATCAAAACAGTGTTTGAATGTAGTTGACTTTGTGAACTACTACAAGTAGAATCATGGCCAAGCATATCTTCTAATCACGTGCATATTTGACCACATTACTTTGTGTTAGTTAATAGTTCTTCCTTGAATTCTTTCCATTCGGCGTTTTGAGGTCTCAGAGTGTTAATTATAACTATGTTATCTCAGAATTGATTTAGAGACCATTTTGTACCATATAAATGACAATTTCTCTATGCCTTTTCAATTAACATCCTTGATCAAATTAATGCAATGTTCATTTTCTAATACAGAATCTTTTGAAATCTGTTTCATGGTTTTCTTGCAGGTCACATTTGTGGATAAGCCATGTACAATAGTTATGAAGGTCAGTGTATCAGTCTTTCTTCAACCATCCTGAATTATTTTTCAGCTGCTTTTCTTCAAAATTTTATTGCTTAGCTGATATTCTCTATTCAGGACACATATCACCATAGTGTTCGTTTTCTTAGATGATTTTTCTTGCTAAAATCTTCCCTTGTAAGTTATATATTTGACTGAAGGGTGTCGTCTTAATTTGTAGTGCAGCTTAAACGTTGGGAGAGGATAGAATGTAAACCCAACAGTCTCCCTGTACTGCACAAGATGCATGTTAAGCTCGGAGACACTGTGAAAGTTATCTCAGGCCGTGATAAAGGTAAAATTGGTGAAATTACTCGGATTTTCAGACATAACAGTACTGTCATTGTGAAAGACATAAACTTGAAGACAAAGCACATGAAGAGCCGAGAAGAGGGAGAGCCTGGGCAGATTGTCAAGGTGCGTACAGCCCTTTGAGAATAGCGTATTCTATTTTCTTTAATATTATTAGATTTCCTTATCATAGGCGGTGGGCATCAAATAATCTGCACCATGTCTTAGTAAGAGCTCTTGTGTGGTGACGGTGTTAGATTTAAAGATAGGAGTTTAGGTAATTTTTATAGCCCTCTACCAATTTTGGTAGTAAAGCATCATAGGAATGGGAAAAGAGCAAGGCAGCGTATTATACTAGATGTTGCATTTGGTATTAAAGTGAATCAGTAATAGAAGTAGAAGATATTTACTGTTGTAATTTCCCTTGTCATCCTCTCCATCATGCGTAATATTTACATTTGAGAATTTCTGATAGTGTATGTCACAATTTCGTTACTAAATGTCTCTGATTTCATCTTTATGTTTAAGTTTAATAATGCATCATGATTCATCTTAATGACAGATTGAAGCAGCTATTCACAGCTCCAATGTGATGCTATATTCAAAAGAACAAGAGGTAGCTAGTCGAGTAGGGCACAAAATTCTTGAGGATGGAAGCAGGGTTCGTTACCTCATCAAGACTGGTGAGATAATTGATAGTGCTGAAAACTGGAAGAAGGTGCATAAAGAAAAAGAGAAAGAGAAAGAAGAAAAAGCTACTTGACGTCAGGTTGAAGTCAACATCACAATGTATGTAATATCTAATTCCTTCCGAACAATCTCTCTTGTCAATTCCTTTTTTTTTTCACATTGTAGCATTTGCCACCGTTTCAACCTTTGTTGTTGTTAGCAATATTACTTATCAAAGTCTAAGTTTTTCTGCTTTACATGTCGCAATATACTTGCAATGAACTTGTTAATAAACTTCATTTTGGATGCTTTATGTTTCAAGTTATGTGAAGGTTATCAATTTCTGCTTCCCTAATCAGTAATTCCTGAACTCGGTTTTAGAGATTGGTTCAGCTTCAGCATAACTGCTTTTTGTTACTAGTGATAATATTGAACAATTTAAACTTGGGTACGTGGTAGTTAAAGAGGGATACATATCAAGGGGCAGATGATTGAAGTAAGCAAAATCCAGCAGCATTGTGCAAAGTGCAAATGGTATCAAATATGACAAGATTTGAGAGTTTCAAGGCCAAAATTCAATGCATTCATTTTCTTCCTTCTTCCAACAGTAAGAACTGTAGTTGTGTCACTTCACTTGGATATGGTTGTTGGAGAACAGCAAGCTACATTCACTATTGCATTCAATATCAAAGAAGTCAAGCAACCCATGAGTTCCATGACATGAAAAACTAGTTTAGATTTTCTGTAGAGTCAAATATCGTAGATAAACGAAGAATCTGAAATAGATTTGAAGTTTTAAGCTTAAGTTAGCATTCTACCAACTTAATCTGAAAATCTAAGGTACTACATAGCTGTATTCGGATTAAGATTGATTGACTGTTTTGAGAGGATTGAATTGTGTATTGAGGTTGAGGTTTGGTTTGCAGCCAAAATTTCAAAAGCAAATTTTACATGGTAAAAATTAAAAGGTTGGACCTCACATTTTCCTCTCTTTTTGTGTATAAGTAGTGCAAGTGAAGACATGTAGTTATCACTATTCTTTCTATATTGTAAGGAAGTGTTTTTATAACACTGTACAATTGATTGGAGGAACCAAATTTTGTGGTAAGGAAAAATATCGTATGAGGTTGCATGAGCTTAGTTTATGGATGCTTCAGAATATGCTGTTTGGAAATGTTACATTGTGAGAAATGTTTTATTACTTAATTTAATTAAAACAGATGGCTACATTTGACATAATAACTGAAAATAGATTTCATTGAAGAGCAAAGCCCTTGTTCTCATTACACTGTCTCCTCTTTACTGCAGAGTCAGTTGGTGGTAGTGTAATTTTGCGAGCCCAAACGCTAAAGCAATTAAAGAGCTCTTCATGCTTGCCAGAGCTACATTTCCCTCATTGTTCACATTTAGTTTTGATTACCATTGTTTTGGCTAATCACATTTAGTGTAATTTCTTGTAGCTGTTAAATAGGAAAAAAAAAACTTTCTACAAAGCAGGGTAGAAGAGCTCTAGGATTAAGCAAGTAGAGCTCCTCAATGTTAGAATACAAGCTAGCTTTACCTGCTAATGAATCGAATCCGGATTGCTTGGTTACCCGTTGAAAGTTATCAGGAGGCTTGTGAACTCTTCCATCTTGATTGAAGGATTGTCTTCAAAGACCTCGATTGCTTCAAATGCTCTTCCACTAGTTGAAGTTGTAAAAACGCCTACTTCTCCTTTCTTTATTGGAGAGGTTGAAGATTAACTGCTCTCGATGGTATAGAAGAGCAAAAACAAATCTAACAACAAACGGAGGAGGAGGAGGCCAAACCTACTATTATTTATTGGAAAAATTAAAATAAAATTGCTTATGCACTAATAAACGGTGCGCTCTGACCCTGTCTCCGGGAGGGAAGAGAGGGTTACGTGCAAATTATAGGAGCTTTCTTGTATTGCAAATTATTATTTTAAGATATCAACTTATTTGCATAATACGCATGCCACTGTTTTCCCCTTTTCCTGTAAATCAACTTATTTACGTAGGATAGTTGGTTTCTATTTAGGGATGACAAAATTGACCCAACATCATTTGCCTATTCATACCCACCCGTCAAATGAACCATCGAAACTCATCCACCATTTAGTTAAATGGGTGGGTATAGTTTCTATTAAAAATAAATAAGTCATAAATGGACGGGCTATAACCCACCCCATTTACCCATTTAGATGGGTATTCTTTCAAAAACACCCTCAACGTTTCAACAATTGCAAAACATATTTTTAAAAGTTCAAAATTATAGAAAACACCTAGAATTAGGAAATTACCAACACGCCCTTGAAACTTTAAGATTTGCAAAAAACACCCTCAAAGTTTAAAATATTATAAAACGCTCTCAAGAGTTAAAAATTACAAAAACTCTCAAAACTTTCTAACCTCATAAATGACGTGAAATTTAAAAATTACCAGCAGCCCCCTAAAATTTATAATTTGCAACAAACACCCTTAAAAGTTTTAGAAAATAAGAAAAACACCCTCAAGAATTTAAAATTACAGAACAATCTCAGAACTTTCTAAACTTGCAAATGACACATAAATCTAAAAATTTTCAGCAATCCCCTATAAATGTAAAATTTGCAAACACCACCGTCAAAATTTTAACATTTACAAAAAACTCCATTAATGGTTAAGAATTATAAAAACAACCCTAAATTTTCAAAACCTACAAATGACGCATTAAATTCAAAAATTACCACCAGCCCCCTAAAATTTTTATAATTTGTAAAAAACACCCTCAAAGTTTAAAAAATTGTACAAAACAAGCTCAAGAGTTCAAAATTACAAAACAATCTTAGAATTTTCTAAACTTACAAATAACACATGAAATCTAAAAAAATTCAGCAGCCCTCTATACATATAGAATTTGCCAATAACACCCTTAAAGTTTAAAAAATTACAAAAAACACCCTCAAGGGTTTAGAATTATAAAAACCACCCTGAAATTTCAAAACCTACAAATGACACATGAAATCTAAAAGTTACTAGCAAGCCCTTGTAAATTTATAATTTACAAAAAACACCCTTAAATTTTAAAAATTGCAAAATGCATATTAATTTGTTATATGCATTTTATGGTTGTTCCATAAATTAACTATAATTTTTTATATGTATGAATACACGATCATTCTAAAAAGAATTTGTATTTATAATAGGAGTATTTTGACCTCTCATACTATCTACACGTCCATCCCCTATTGCGCATCCACTACTTTCGTTAGTATCTATCCGATCGAATTGATTGAAGTTTGATGGTTCGATTCCGTTTTAGATTATGTTTCGGTTGGTTTGATTTTAGAATATGTTTTAGTTGGTTCGGTCTGAGAAGGTTTCAAGCTGAACAAATTAAATTTGTCTAAAGTAACACTTACCTTCTTTTCATTAGTCCACAAGTTTGTTCTCTTTTTTTTCTTCCTCAAATTGTTTATTCTTCCAATTAGATTAATTAAACTAGTTGAAATCCAGCCTGAATATTACAACCTAACTGAACTAATTTTCGATCGGTTTGGTTCAGTGGCGGAGCCATGATTTTTATCCTATGGTGTCCTATAGAAGCATCGGTAATTGTGGAAAATACATCTCTCTCAACATAAGCCACCAAACTATCATTAAGCTGAAAAAATTCGAACACGCGCGCATGCTGGGTTCCTTGCGAGATTCGAACCCGCGCGCATGTTGGGTTCCTTGAGACCCTTTTCCGCTAAACCATCTATATTTTTGTTATTTTTATATGTGCTCTCTGGTAGATATTTAGTTTTTACTGGTGTCCTGGGAATCCGGGGGCACCCATTCAGCTCCGCCCCTGGTTTGGTTCGCTTTCAAATATAGAGAGTATCAGCTCGGTTTTTTCAAAATTCGTAAAAACCAACCGAACCAACCGTTAGCCCACACTTAATATCTGTGTAAACCACATGAATTGATAGGCTTCCTTCTTTCTTTTCAGAAAAAAAAATGAAGGGGGGAAACATGCTCTTAATTATTGATTTTAGTACGAGGCAATACAATAGTCTTAATATTAAATTTATAGAGATTTGGTTTATAGTAAGTTTAACTCCCGGGATATTACTTTTTAACCCTCAAATATGGATCCAAATATCATCCTTCTTTTATTTTGTTTGATTTGATAATTATTGTTTCCAAAATTCGTCTGAAAAAAAAATTAAATCTTAAAAATAGCATTAAAAACTCAAAGAGCTAATTACCAACCCGACGGCCAATCACATTTACACGTATTTTCTCCCGCGCTCTCGTTCTCCCCCTCTTTTCTCTCTTCAACAAGATTTCCCCAAATTCAAAAAATTAGAAACCCTAGATCCCTCAATTTGGCCGCATTTGAATTGGACCGGTCTAAAAGGGAGAAACACAAGAAATCTGTCTGGTTTCTTTACGTTTCTCCCACGAAATTTCGGCCGGTTTCTCTTCAAATTATCAGCTGCCGTTTTTAATTTTGAAACCCCGTTCTTTATCTCGTAAAAGGTTCTTTTTTCCGAAGGGTAATGGTGTTGTGATCCCAAAGCTTGAATCTTTTTGATGAAATGTATAGGAAGGCTGATTTCAGAAATGACGTGTTTGAAAAAATTTGGATTTTTGGGTATCTTACTGATGTTATCTCATGTACTTGCCTCGAGAGTTTTAGCGGGAAAGCACGGGATGGATGTCCGCCCGTTATTGAGATCGAATTTCGATGAGCAGACGGTAATAAGGTTTTCCTCCTCTTTTTTTTGTCTCCTCTATAATTTGATTATTTATGGAATATTTGTATTGTTACCATGAAAGCTTTCCGTGTGCTGATAATTTGATGGATAATTGCTTGGTATTCAATTAAGCATTTTGGAGTCTTTTGGTTGAATTATATGTGAAATTTACGTCACTGTTCTTTGCAATAGCAAAAGGTGTCTCGCATCAGAGCAATTTTACCTCAACCTCAAATTTGTTCTCTAGATTGTTGTCATTTTGTGATATGGGTATCTTGGTGTTGTTCATATACAAGTTTAGTTCGACGTTTGTCCAGTCTTCTTCCTTGGTCTTTATCTGCATGATGGAGTCATGGTCACACTTTGTTCCTCCTCCGGCTGTTATATGTGCCTATGATTGGCACTTCTTGATAACATTGTTTGCATCTACGACCGGCTTCTTCAACACTGTTGCTTTTTATTGGTAATAGATTTGAGAGAAGACATCACTCGTTTGAGAGAAGAATCCCTAGACACTCATCAGAATACAAAAATGCTTGCAGCTGTAGCTTCATGTCCTTGTTAAGATTAGAGTCCATTTAGAAGTCGTCCTCATCGAAGAATTGCCAAACAAAGATTTATTTTCTTTCACTGTCATGTTGTTATTTCGCGGCATTGTTATTGTTTTTTAGCTAAAAGGTGGGTGAAGACCTCCGTGTTCATTAGAAGTATTTAACATTAAAAAAACCCAGAGTTATACAAGCTAACATAACCACATGAAAATGGAGTCCAGGAGTCAACAACTATGTAAGTAGATTCCATCAAAAGGCAATTGGAGTTTTCAATTTATTGTAGATTTTGCTAAGCTAATATGGTAAATCTATGTATCTGTTAAATATGCATATTCTTATGATTGTGGCTTTTTCCTTGGCCTTGCAATGTTTCTTTGCTCTATTCGGCCATTGACTTTTTTTTTTTTTTTTTTTTTTTACTTCTAATTTTCCTCTCAAGTTTCAGACATTCTTGTTCATCAAGACCATTTTCATTTCTGGATTTATAGTGAAATAAGTATATTCACAATTGTTCTAGTACATTTGTGGCTTATCATAGTAAGGTTACTAAATTCATTAATTAGCTTCTAGCTAATAAGATTGGGAATCTTTGTTCTGCCCATTAAATGCTAATCCTTTTGATGTATGAAATGTTAAAGATCTTGATTTTGTCTTGTTGAAGCAGTAAATAAACTCAGTGTTGTAGAACGAAATGATTTGTAACACTTATTTTTGATAAATTATGATCACGACAGGTGGAGCAGATGTGGCTAGTTTGTGGTCTGGATTTGGCTACTATTAAAGAAGAGGTTCAAAGGTCAGATCCTTACCTTGTCAAAAAAATATTACTATCCAAAGGCAGTATGCAAGAAGCCCTCGATCTTCTGTCTCCAGGAATTAACCCTAGCTTTCGTGATTGTCTGGTCAAGCAAAACTTCCCCCTATATAATTCAGCAGATGACAGCCTAAGAATTTGGTTTACCAATTATCTCGAGTCATCACTTAGACAATTGCCTTCTATAAGAAGATATTTAGCTTCTAAGTCTTCTGAGGAGATGTCCCCAAATTCAGCGCCAGCTCCTTCTCCAATTTCAGACCCTGATGCTGATTCAAATCCGTCTTTGATCCCGAGAGTCAAGCCAACTAAAAATAGTCCACCATCACCCTCATCAGGGAGAGAAAAAGCTCCTTCAAAGGGTCCTAAGGGTCCTAAGGGAGTACAGCCAGCTTCAGATAATGGAGCCTCAGATAATGGAGTTGTAGCTTCAGATAATGGAGTTTTCTCTCAACAACCTGATGATAAAATTCAGCGCCAAACTCCTCCTGTAAATAATCAATTCAATAACAGTGCAGTTATTATTGCTGTTGCTGTAACTGCAGCGGTGACTGCTGTATGTGTTGCGCTTGTTTTCATCTGCTATTTTAGATGGAAGGGAAAGAATCGGTATGCTGGCTATAAAATAAAGGATGACAAGCCGCTTCTGGGTCTTAGTATAAGCGATTTATCTGGTATGTAAATGTTTTTATTCAATCCATTTTGGAATAAGCTTATTTTTACTGCTGGTTTTCTGGTTTTTCTCATTTTTCTTCTATTTTCAGGTTCACAGAAGTCTACGGACACTCCTAGCAGTATATTAGCCCCACCAAAGCCTCTAAAAACTGATCCAAGCCAATGTATTCAGGTTTCATGCTCGGATGGTTCGGCTGAGACTCAGTCGTTAGGTAAACTTCCAGGGAATCCAGGTCTTCAAATTTGAATTAGTGTTTATTTCACAAAACACCCTGAAGTCGGGGTTTTTGCCTAACCCCTCTGAAATTTTTTATCTCACATAACCCGCTGAACTTTGGGATGTCTCATAGAGCACTCTTGAACTTTAAACTCTCATCACTAGACCCCGCCTAAAATTGGTAAATACCTAAAATGCCCTTGAGAAAAAACCATGAAAGTTAGTCATTTGTCATTTACAGACAATGTGACTCCTTTCCCAGTTGACGGGTTTTTTCTCTCTCAATAAAATTTTAGCTACTTGCAAAAATTACAGGTGGAGTGGGCGTCAGGAGAGAGACCCCCACCCCCCCCCTCCCAAAAAAAAAACTCAAGGGGCTTTTCTGAAATTAACCCATTGAATTATTCAAATTTGGGCTCTACAAATGCAAGTTGTTCTATTGAGCTAAATATCATTGTTTTAACAGATACTCCTGCTCCAAAACCACCACCACCTCCTCCGCCTATGCCTCCTGTTAAACCTCCTCCGCCTCCTCCTGGCCCACCTCCACCACCAAAATCCGGTCCTCGCCCTCCACCTCCACCAAAAGGTTCAGCTCCTCGACCCCCACCCGGAAAAATCAACATTACAAGGCCAAATAAAGCCCCAGCACGTGCACCAAATACGAATGGGGAAGATTCTGCAGATGACGGAAATGCCCCTAAGACCAAACTTAAGCCATTCTTTTGGGATAAGGTTCAGGCTAAACCTGATCAGGCTATGGTCTGGGATAAGCTAAAAGCTGGTTCTTTCCAGTAAGTTTGTTGTTCTTAAGATCTTGACTTGGTGGGTTCTTGGTGCTAAAAGGGTCATTTCAACTTGCAGGTTTAATGAGGAGATGATAGAAAGCCTATTTGGTTACACCGATAACAAAGAGGAGAAGAAGATGTTGTCACAGAAGGATAATGCTGCTCACTATGTCAGGATCCTTGAGCCTAAAAAGTCACAGAACCTGTCTATTTCTTTGAAAGCAATGAGTGTAAAATCAGAGGAAGTTCGTGATGCACTTTTGGAAGGTAATTCTAGTGTTATTTATGTTCATGCAATAAATAGCATGAGTTACTTGCCGATATTAATTTATATGGTTAATTGGGGATATACCCTGTATCAAATTGAACTTACTACCTTTGTAGTTCCATTGTTGCAGATAGACCCCTAGAATTAATTTTTTTTAAAACCCTTTAAGGGGTTCTACGTGCAATAATAGATTTTCTCTCAGGAGGTCTCTTACAAACTATAATATTCTGTGTATGGATACCAGGAAACGAGCTTCCAGCAGAGTTACTCATTACATTGCTGAAAATGGCACCTACAACTGAAGAAGAACTGAAGATTCGGCTTTTTGCTGAACCTTCTCAGCTTGGCCCTGCAGAACAATTTATAAGAGACATAGTGGATATCCCATTTGCTTATCAGCGGATGGAAGCTTTGCTTCTTATGTCTTCTCTACCGGAGGAAGTTTCAAGCATTTCTGATGCCTTTTCAGCTTTAGAGGTAAGCTTTTATCTCATGTCTTTGTTTTTATTTTGAGTTAATAGGACAACTAATGCTCTTTATTTCTTAGGAATTTGAAAGACATAAATAAGGGTTCAAAGGAAGACTTATTCTTAGATATTAGGCGTGTTCTTATAAGATAACTTATACTTTTTGTTGATTTCTCTTTTTAATATTTTGCTGATTGAGAAAGATCAACTTGAGTCTTCTTCGTAAAAAGTACCATACTGAAAGGACCTACCTGATATAGTTTAGGAAAATTCCTCAAGGACCCAAAATATGGGACCAATAGGGGGACAAGTGAGGTGTCCACCTCCTATTGATGGCCAATTCATTATCCAATAGGAGGTGGACACCTCACTTGTCCCCCCTATTGGTCCCATATTTTGGGTCCCTATAGCAAAGCTCAGTTTTATGGGGCTGATTTGCATTTCTCATTCAAATTTGTGATCCATTTGAGAGCATATTATAGGAGAATACATGTTTTCTGTAAAACATTTAAACTTTGCTTTTGGATACTTAATTCATTTTACTCTAGGATTAATTCCGGATAGAACCATGTACTATTGCCAAGTTGAACTTAGTACTCCTGTAGTTTTATTGTTGCAGATAGATCTCCCCTTGAAAGAGCTCAATTCTTGCAGATAGACCACCTGAAAAGGACCAGAAAAATTTCACGCGGGGTGTCTATCCGCAATTAACCCTTATATACTACAAAATGTAAATGCAGCTGAAATTAAAATATTATAGTGTAGCTCAAAATATTTCAACCTTATGCTTCATCCGTATCCAGGTAGCTTGTAAAGAGCTAAGAAACAGCCGCCTTTTCCTAAAACTCCTTGAAGCCGTCCTTAAAACAGGCAACCGCATGAACGATGGCACATACAGAGGAGGAGCGCAAGCGTTTAAACTCGACACCCTCCTAAAACTCTCGGACGTCAGAGGAACCGACGGAAAAACAACGCTCCTCCACTTTGTCGTCTTAGAGATCATCCGTGCAGAAGGAGTACGCGCAGCCCGTGCAGCCCAAGAAAGTCGAAGCAGCGTTTCAAGCCTAACCTCTGAAGATCTCCTCGACGAGCCTCCTTCTGACTCCGGAGACTATTACCGAGCTCTTGGTCTTAAGGTCATCTCGGGTTTGAGTAGTGAGCTCGAAAATGTCAAAAAAGCTGCAGGGCTCGACACTGATGCACTGACAAACACGGTGGCGAGCCTTGGTGAAAAGGTATTGAAGACGAAGGAGTTTCTGAGGACCAAGATGGAAAATTGCGACGAGGAGGGTCGGTTTTTGCCAGCACTCAGAGCTTTTGTGGAGCATGCGGAGGCTGATGTAACTAGTTTGCTGGAGGAAGAGAAGAAGATGAGGCTGCTGGTGAAGGAGACTACTGATTATTTTGATGGGAACAGCGGGAAGGATGAGGGCCTGAGGTTGTTCGTCATCGTGAGGGATTTTCTGGGCATGATTGATAAAGTGTGTAGAGAAGTGAAGGTATTGCCGAAGCCGAAGCCACAGAGAGCTAGAGAAAGTATTGCAGCGTCGTCGTCGTCGCCAGCGATGTCGCCCGCTAGAGACCCTCCCGTCAGAGATCCTCGGCAGTTGCTGTTCCCGGCGATCAAGGATCAGCGAAGGGAGGGTTCGGATTCTTCCGGTTCTGATGAAGACGATTAGCTGGATGAGGAGGTGTTGTATCCTCAGGTACGTTAAATGATTGATGCAGTGGCCTCCATTGGCTTGATGAGACGGGCCTTCTTTCGTCGGCAGCGGTTAATACGGGCATCAACAACACGGACTGGCATCGACCCACTTTGTAAATGAAAATTTTAGACTTATTGATTTATTATTTGTGCACATTGTGTTCCCTTATTTTATCTTTTTCTGGGGGAAAATGTAAAGTTTTTGTTCTGGTTAGCAGGAGATGAATATCATCCGCAATTTTTTTTTATAAATAAAAATAAACCATTAAAAATAGGTTTAAAATGTCAGAAGTGGGATTTGAACCCACGCCCTCTCACGAGGACCAGAACTTGAGTCTGGCGCCTTTGACCACTCGGCCATCCTGACCTTATCGAAGAGACCCAATTATTATCCAGACATAGTTCCTTCATTGTTTTCTTTTTTTTTTGGGTTATTTTACTTAATCGCTACGAGTTTCATTCCGTTTTAAAGTAATCAAGAATCCGCAACCTCCGCAACCTGCTCCTCTTGTGCTCTTTCATCATCCGCAATGTCTTACCACCGCATTGATTTTTGAGAAATATTGAAGACAACACTTGAATAAAAATATTGCAGGCCCTCAGCTCCCAATTTTGGGAACTAAACACGCATCTCGTTAAAAAAAGAAAGTTTCGCATTTTCATGCATCTAAACTAGTAACCCAAAACTTAACAAATACGCCACCCTAAACAACTACAAACTCTAAGCCTAAAAAAAAAGAAAACCAAGACGCCAAGATCTAGCAAAAGAGTACTTTTTTGAACAAATAGGCGAAGTCCTTCTTCACATGTGCATCATCAGCTCCGGCCTTTGAAGAGCCTGCCAGCTTTTCTTTGGGAGGGCAAGAGGTTGTGAATGTTGGGCATTCACTCTCCGTTGGCGATGGTGACTGCCGCAGGCAGCTTCGAGAGCTCCTCGTCGTTCCCTCGACCGCCCACTGAATGTGCCTCGGCAACGAATTCTAGTCTTTTCTTGTTATCTCTTGCGGCGTTTCCAGCGAGGCTTCCAAACCTATTCTCACGGCGAAAAAAAGGTGAGATTTGTGATCAATACCATTTTCATTTTGATGAATTCCGCACTTCCAGAATTTATCAGAAGAAAAAAAAACCGCCCACAAATCTATACCGAAACAAATTCCAACCAAGAATTGGCGGGCAAAAACATCATTTGAATCAGGAATTCAAGAAGTATACCTCAGCAGCGATGGTACTCGATAGGAAACGGCGCGAGGTACAGCGCGAGCGGGCCGGCGCCCAACCCTCCTCGCGCGTATTTTCCCGCGCTTCAAAGGAAGCGAAGCGATCCTACAACCGGAAACTGGAGCCCGGCGCTTGCTGCTCCTCGACGTCGCTTCTCGCCGCCGCGGAACCAATCGCCTCCTCTTCCCGCCCATTAATTGAGAATTTTCGATCAAGAAGTTTCTGGCGAATTTGGGCTTAGGTTACGAGAAGCGGAGAGGGGGAAGCTTAAACATCTCTGCTAACGAGAATTGGGGTCGCGTTGCTTGATTTGGGGAGTCGGCCCTCATTATACGGTTGTGTTGAGTATTTGCGCCAATGAGGAGAGAGCACTCGATTCGAGCGATGCTGACCGTTGGTATTGAAACAAAAAATGGACGCTAGATTTTGCTGAGTTGAGGTTTGTGGATTGGCGTGATGAAAATTACTGAACGGGAAGGGCCTCGAGAGTCTCCCGAGTTCGCGCGGAGGCC